AGGACGAGGTGCAAATATCTTAATAAAATTCTAATAAGTTTTCCGATTGCGACGAATCGCTGAAGAAGTCATATATTTACAAAAAGTTTAGTTCGTTTTTCTAAGCTTAAAATCGATGACAAGCGAGACGAACCAAAAATAGTTTTCGTTGTGAGAGTTATCATGTTTTCATTTTAATGTTGAAAAAAAGACAGATAATAGTGCTTGGAGGCAAAACCTGGCCAATAGGGTAGATGAGGCAGCAATTCAAAATTCAATTCATACAGTTTCACCCGCATCTTAAAGTTCCTCTTCCATTGCAAGTAAAGTCGGTGTCCAGTTGGAAAACAGGTCTTTGATGTCCTGCACTTCAATTTGACATCATCAGAACGTCAATTCTCTTTACTTTTCAATTACACTCAAATTTGGTTTTGTGCGCTTATGAGATCCCTATTTACCGTGCAGTGTATTCAGAGAAATTTTTTAAGACCTTTTATTGTTCTACGGTACAATCACCTTGCTTGAGCATGCAAGATATTCAGCTTTGTCGATATCCGTAGGACCTTCTTTTAAACGAGAAAACCACTGGCGAAGGATAGCCGCCATTGCACTTTTCAAGCCAACTCTAAGTTACAATGGGAATTCTTTCCATCAAAAAGCAACCTTTAGACAGCAGAAGAAATTTTTTATTGCTTTCACACAACTGTACTTGCTCTAAGCTGAACTGAACTGATATTTTTTTTTATCCTACATGTAAAAGACTTTTTGATAATTGCGATGAATCGATTTGACTGACTGTTAACATTCTTATAAGTATTTTTATAAATAAAAATGCAAAAGCTCTGAAGAAAACATTGAAATGCTTAAGTCATAAAGTTCAAGAGATTGTTAATGGATGTTAAACAGTGGGCTATGTACAAAATGTGCGAAAAATAGTGGCGAAAATGGATCAAGCTGTTCAAACGGTCCTTAACGTAACGGTTTGGGTTTGTTGGATTATTGGGGAGAGTATCGCGAATAATGCGCTTACTAACAACTAAGGCGATTTATACATGCCATTGAGGTAAAGCAAGCAGAAACGATCAATAGGAAAGACGTCGTTTGCAATCATGACAATGCTGAACTGTATACGTCTTTCATGATTCGCCGTATATTGCAAAGGGTTAAAAGGCAAGTTTGGATGCATTCATAGTATAACCGAGGCAGGTTCTAGCTAAACTACGACTTGTTTTACTCTTTAGTATTCTCTTAAGAAAGACATGGAGACACTACCTTATTTAGTTTTTTGATGATAATGCCATAGTGGTTTTATGTAAGAATAAAGCGCCACGCTTTTCTTTTACCTAATAGAGTCTCAGTCTCATTTATAACACGTGTGGTTATAAAAATCGACTTCGGAAAAGTCTTCGCTTCTGCAGAAAGACATTTAAGGAGCGGCTTGGAAGGGTGCCAATCAATTTATATAAATGTACTCGGGCTAAATAACTTTTGATGTTTTAAGAGGTCAATGCTCTGGCAGTGTAATGATCTAATAAATAAATGGTTATGGCGAAGAATAATTATTGAGACATTTGAAGAAGAGAGTTACGAAATGAAGGCTCATTAGCGTAACACAGATTGTTATGTTTACATAGGATATTGCCTTCCTACATGTCAATCTTCTTCTTAAATGCGTACACAACATACTTACTTAAATTTACAACAATAACTGCTAATTAAAATAAATCAAAAAATTGCACTTAATTTGCTACGTATGTGAAAATAAAGTCATTATCGTTCGACACAATTATTACATATTTTTAAATAAATCTATTAAATTTTTATTCTCTTGAAGTGAAGTCAATTTCCTTAAGAGTAGCGTCGTAGAACGTGCAGCATATAAATAAATATTAGATGCTTTTAAATGCGCTCATAAAATGATGATAAAATTGTTAAATGCGTTGAAGTGCTTGAAAGTATATGTTAAGTATTCCATTTAGAATTTTATTTTAATGTCTGGCAGTTAGAAAACGCTTAAAGCAACGAATTTCGTATACCTATCACTTTAAGTTGAGTTATGAAAAAAATTCTAACAGGCATTGATTCATGCTTTGTGAATTTTTGCAGCTTTCGTTATTGAAGGTTAATTTTTCTGCCGGATTACTCATGTTTTCGAGTTGGGTTACCTCTGCCGAATCGTACAGAAATCCTCTAAAGACTAATCTTAGGCTTTCGGCATTAGCTTTCTTAATTTGAGAACTCAAATGGACGGCCGAGGGAAAAAGCTAATAGAATGAATATGTATGCGATCGAATGATGGGCAAAAAGATTGATGGATGAAGAGATTGTTCGGAGAAGGGGACCGCAGATAGAAGAACGGACACGTTGGCGATGAACATTGAATGAAATGAACGATAAATGATGAACGTGAAATGGATGTACAAAAAAGTGGACGGACGGACAGAAAAATGAGTACTTTAGTGGAGCGGGAGATACTCAAACGCGTACATCTAATATTATACGAGGCTAGAGAAAGAATTCGTATTTTTGATGAGATCTTTAACGCGTATATTTCCGGTACCGCAGGTGAAAGCCCTACGTTAGTATGCCGCTTACAATCGTATAATGGTATAAAAATGCATTAACATAAAGACTACTCTAACTCGTTTTGCCTGCAGTCACATTTTAAGAATGCGTAGTAACGAACACATCTCTATGGAAAAGGGTGAAAAATACCTTCAACACTTCAGTTCCTTTCTTTTCTCATTCATTTAGTCATCAATGCAAGAGCCCGTAAAGTGTGTCGTGTAACGGAAGGAAACATAAAATCTGTTCCATTAATCACAAAGAATGCAACAGGATATATAAACGTGCACATACGCGCATAAAAATACACACACACACACGAAAGCACACGCACGCACACGCACAGGCACAGGCATATGGGTCCATACACTGGCTTAGGCGCATATGTTTTCATCTACTATTCACATAAGCATGAAAATTACGAGCTGTGTGGGCAATATTCCATAGGAGGAGGAGTGACCCACACAATGCATTCGTTTACGTTTCTACGATAGGGTATAAAAGTGTTCTTTTATTGTATTCTTTTACGTTATGTACACAAAAATAATTTTCAATCCATTTGCTTGCTTCTTATTGTTAATATATTATGGTTTTCACTTATGCTTTACATTTTCATTGTCTCTCTTCGTAATTAAACAACGAATTCGTTATTTGTTTTCTCAGACGTTTTCAAAAGTGTACTTCAATGGCAAACAACTCAAATATCTTCTAAACCAAGCAAATATTCTGGCTATTAAATAAGAACCACTTAACTGCTCCCTTTTTTTCTTAGAGTTTCGTTTAAGGCAATCTTAAGCTTTACATATTTAGAGCGCAGATATATTAGTACAATAAAACGAGTAAAAAGAGCATAGTAGGGCGCGGCCGACCATTATGTACCCTACACCAATTCGTTTAATACAATTATTCATAGACCGTCCAAGGCCGTATATGGAAAGCGGTCGAAAAAGTGGTTCGATGCGAACCATTTTCAATAGCGTTAGTCGTTAGTCGTTGGGCTAAAACTCGCTTGTGTACCAATTTTCATCAAAACACTTCAAAAATTTGTAGCCTCTAGGCTAAACACAATAAGACGGACAGACTAGTTCAGATTGATTCAGGAAATGGAAAGTGGAAGTGAAAAAGGAACTAGTTTTAAGCTTTGATGTGCTTGGTGATTTTTCAATACGGCTGTTCGTACTTATGGTCGCGCTAAACGCAATAAGAAACACTGAACTACTTTACGTATTGCATGGAAATCCCGTCGGTCCATCATATATTATTTATTGTCGCCTATTAACGATTCTTTTTCTGTCAACCCGTTGTGCATTGTTCATATTCCATATAATTTATACATTTATCCGTTATTCATTGCCTAGCATCCAATATCAATTCCGTTGTCCATTATCTGCTAATTCTTATGCAATATTTATTATGGACTCTCTATTAGTAGGCGGCTAAAGGCTATTATTATTTACCCAATATTCAATTCCCATTATTTCTTATTCATTGACAAGTGGCCATTAACAGTTATCTCTGATTCGCGATCCATTATCCGCTATCCGTCATCTTTCATCAGCTATGCATTCATAACGCGTTAGCTATTACTATTCGTTGCCTATTATCCTTCATTTATTGGCACTCGTTCCTTACCGACTATATACTATTCGTTATGCACTATCGCTTGTTCATTATTCATTAATCTTTCTGTAGTAGCTATTAAGTACAAGTTTTTCATCTGCTATGTATTATTCTTTATCCATTCTGCGCCATCTTTTATCCATAAACGCATTATCACCTGTTGGGGTTTTAGCTTCTGTCCAGAACTCATTGTTCATTATCCCATACTCGTTGTCATTTCTCCATTACTAATTATCTCTTATTCGTTTCTTACCATCCGTTATGCGTTATTCGTTATCAGTTTTTACTTTTTGCAAAAATTAACTGGGTCTTTGTCGTGTTATCTGTTATCCATCATATGTCATATTCATAATGCTTTAGCTATTAGTTAACACATATTAATCTTTAACTTGTATCTAGAAATCATTGCTGATTTTCCGTTGTTCATTGCCCATTGCGCTCACCACCAGTTATATGATACGCTATTGGTTGTCCAATCCCTTGTCCACAATCCCATGTTCATTAAGCGCTAGGTATTATTTTTTTACTATCCGTCTGAATAGGCGAGTAGCGAAAAGATTTCGACTAACAACTCAATGGTCGTGAATTTAAATCACAAAAGTAATTATTTGGTATCCATTATCCTAACCATCCATTATCCTACTACCATTCCATTATCCATTATTACTTATATATTATAATATATATATTATATCCCTTTCTCTCTTATCCTTATTCTTGATTATATGTTACTCTCAATTCGCTGTCCATCCATTATCGACGGTTTGCCATTATTATAAGAGGCAATGAAAAATTGATGAAAATTAAATGAAATTTCGTTTTTGCCAACCTCAAGATTCGTTAGTTGTTTTTTTTTCAATTAATTTCAACAGCAATTTAGTCGCTTATTCCTAATCTTAAAAGAGATGTAATTGAGACCTAAACGGAGTGTATTGAGTAAATGGTTAGTTGCTTTACCTTTTTCAATTCAAACTGATAATCGTAGAGTGTTTTGTACTGCGACAAACGCGTTAATCTCTTATATGTCGACGAATCCGTTTAAGCTTAAAAGGGCTTAAGAAAAACGTGTGCTTATATAAATATTTATATTCGAGCTATCCTGACGCAGATCGCCTTCGGTACGGTACGGTAGAGAAAAAGGAAACTGTCTACGTTACACTAATTAAAAGTACGCTTTAACATTTTAAAGACTTTTATGAATGCGTAGACAAATATATTACAATTTGCAAAAAAAAAAAAAAAAAAAAAAAAAAAAAAAAAT